CATAGTTGGGGGAACTTGGATTTCTATTATATCAACTTGTGGAGTAATAAGTTGGATGACGAAGTTCTTGTGGAATTATCTAACTTGACGCATTTAAAGGTTATGAACCTAGGAAAAAATGAATTTTCTGGAACTATTCCAATCAACATGTCACAAAACTTACAAGTGGTGATATTAAGATCTAATCAGTTTTGAGGGTTGTATTCCTCCAAAACTATTCAACCTCTCTTCTCTGATTCACATGGATCTTCCCCACAATGAACTTTCAGGATCAATACCACATGTTTCTAAAACTACCCAAATGGTAAAAAAAAAAATATTATGCATTCAAATATGTTTATGATGACATAATCAATTTATTTTCGAAAGGTCAAGTTTATGAATATAATCTCGACTGGGATAGGCGTACTATTGACCTTTCAGCTAACAACTTGTCCGGAGAGATTCCCTTGGAATTATTTGGGCTAATTCAAGTTCAAACGATGAATTTATCTTACAATCACTTAACTGGAACAACACCAAAGAAAATTGGAGGCATGAAAAATCTAGAATCTCTTGATCTCTCTAAGAATAAGCTATTTGAAGAAATTCCACAAGACTGTCTTTTCTGGGTTTTTTGAACCTGTCATGCAACAATTTTACCGGACAAATCCCAATAGGGACTCAACTTCAAAGTTTTGATGCATCAAGCTACACTGGGAATCCAAAACTTTGTGGAGCTCCTCTTACAAAGTGTAGTACAGAAGAAAATAATCATGTGAATGCAAAGCAACATACAGGAAATGAAGATGATGACATAGAAAAGGAATCATTCTATCTTGGGATGGGAGTTGGATTTGCAGTTAGCTTTGGAGTTTCTGTGGTTCTTTGCTCCTTGTTCAGAAATGGAGACACAGATACTATCATCAGTTCCTTGATCTAGTGTCTGACCAATTGTATGTTTCATATATATGGTCAAATTCAACAATTTTCATTACAAAGAAGCACCTGCTAGTTGAGGTAAGTGAAACCAACTTTATAATTTTGGTTTCTATTATTATATATAAAACACACAAAAAAAAAAAATCGAAAGGAGAACACAAATAAATAATTGAATAATATCAAAAAATTAAGTCTCATTCTAAAAAAAAAAAAACTACACACACATATTTATGTATTTTTTTTTAAAGAAAACATAAAGACACAAACCTAATCGATAGAGACAAAAATGCCAATCGTCTCTCGCAAAGCTTCTAAAGTAAAAAGTGCCTTCAGTCTAAAATCTCTATTTTCCCCTTCCAAACAAGTATTCAAGGTCGAACATGCACTATAAAGCCTCATTTAGCATCAACATCAATCATTATAGCTAAGTTAGCTCTGCACACATGAAAAATTATATGTTTATCAGGTAATTATAGTTTTAAGTTTTTTCAGTTAATTTTGAAACCTTAATAATTTTTGCTTAAAAATTAAATATTTCATTACAAATTAAAAATAAAATTTAATAATTAAAAGTGTACTTAATATTAAAGAAATTAACTTATTAAAAAATGTTTAATACTAATAGAGGTGATAATAATAAAAAAAATTGTTTTATCAAGAATTATCGGTAAAAAATAAAAAAAATAATAATCAAATTTAACTTCAACTACCACAACATTTAAAAAAAAAAGTCATAAACCAATAAAATAAACTTATTTACCAACCATATTCACTTCATTTCATTTATTTCTGGATTTTAGTTAAAAAAAACATTTCTAATTATTTGTCTTTTTTATAGTTTAGACAATTTTAATTTTTTCTTGTCAAATGTATCTTTACTTTCTATATAACTTTTAATTAATTTACACATTACAATTAATATATATTTACTATGAAGTAAAAATAAAAAATAATATAATAAAAAATCATTAAAATTATTTGATAGAAAACAAAAAATTTTATTGTATTTTTTGATTTGTGCGTAAAACCTTTAAACGATAATTAAAAAAGAACAAAGTCGATATAAAAAGTGATAAACCTTCTTAGAAGAAAATATAAATGTGGTGAGGATTTAAGTCCCTAAATTAAGGGTACACTATAGAGCCTCCAATTGTTGGAGAGGCATCATTTCAGTTTGGTTTGAGAGTGTCTGTTGGAATCAGTGTTTTAAAACCCGGACTGACCCGGCCAGTCGGACCGGTTGGACCGGGAACCGGTGGTCCAGCTGGTTCGAATCTGAAGTTGGATCGGTTATGCAGTCGACCCGTTGAACCGGTCAATTTTCCAGTTCAACCGGTGAATCGGTGGGTCAAACCGGTTCAATCACTTTTTTTTCTTTTTTTTTTTTTACAGTTTTTTAAGGGACCATAAATCACAAAAATAATAATGAAAATTGAATATATTAATGAAAAAGAAAGGAGTATTATTAAATATAAAAATGAATAATTGTTATAATATATTTGTTTGAAATATATAAAAATTAAATAA